TATTTTTTTTGTAATCTGTTAGCCTCTGAATGGTAAAATTTGGACATACTTATTCTGGCAAAGGGGGATGAGAGACTTGAGGAGAAAAATTCTCCACTCAGCAGTAATGTTTCTAAAACTAGAGCTGGTGATGAGGTAATTGGAACTCCTGCAGTGTTTTATAATCAGCCTGTAAGTTGGATTTCTGATGCTGACTTCATATTTAAATATGCTTAACCATAATAAATAACTTTACGTTGTAATTGGATGGCTAAAGAGTTTAGTAATTTTTTTTTTTTATTGTTCATAAGATTACCTGTTGTAATGTAGCCATTGAAAAGGCAACATTGTTAAGGGCTGTTGCCCCTTTTGCCAGTGTTCAGGGGCATCTCAGGCTGCCTGGCCTTGGGCTGAGCAGGTCGGTGAGCAGGTCGGTGCATGTGGGAACTCAAAATGTCTCTCAGACATTTTTAGAGGTTCCAGGCCTTGGTCAGAAGCATTCTAGACCCTGGCAGACAACTGAAAAACAGCTGTGATTTTGAGTTTGAGCCATGGAATGAATTACCAACTTTGGAGGTGGAACTAGCAGTCACAAAAGGTTAGATAGTATAGTATAAGTAGTAACAAAGTAGAGGGGAAATTTTTTTAGTACTGTACAGGGGGGTTTTAACACATGTACAGGGGGGTTTTCACTTTGTACATGGGGGTCAGAAGTTCTAAGATGGAGGAAAGTGGGCTGATCCTGTTCTTCCTCCTTCTTCTTCCTTACCTCCATGTTCTTGGTGATGTTGGCACTCACAGATTGGTTTAGAGTAGAAAAACACTTGGCAACATAGGTAGTAGGTATTGGGGAATAATTGTAAACATGTTATACGTAATATATCTTATAAAAGATAGCAGCAGCCCTGGGCGGGGGGAGAGACGAAGAAGACAGCAGATAGAGAGGATGTCAGGGTGTGTGTGCCTCTACCCAGGCCGCTGATCAAATAGCCACAGTCCAAGAACATAATCTGTTAGATAACTAGCAATAAACTGCCTTGAGACCGAAGAGCTAAGCCTGCGGAGTTTTTCTTTGGAAGCACGGGTTGGAGGAGGAATTTCACCACCACATGTGGCCCCAAAACAAGGCTGGGGTTCTCACAGGTGCAGGCCCCGCCGCTCCCGGTGTGACTGCCCGAGCACAGCGGCCGGGGGCGCTTTGCGGGGCAGGAACATCCTGCGGGCATTGCTGTGCCCGGCTCCGAGGAGACTCGGCGGGGTGAGCCCCAGTGCCGGCGAGGAGGGGACAGCGTGGCAGCTGCCCTGACACAGGACAACGCGCCTGGGCTGGGCTGAGGTGGTCTGCTGCATAAAATTGTTGCACATTTTAAATGGCATTTTTGCTGTTCCTGATGGCTTCGACGAAAAGGTTGACTGTGGCAAATTTTACCCTTCATTTATAGCGTGTGTAAAAGGCCCTTGAATTTTGTCATGTCCTTGCATGTGCTGTGAACAGTACAGCCACAGTAATGTTGTGGGAAAGTGAATAATTCTGTCTAGCTCCAGCCATGGATTTGTTCTCACCCTCATTTTAAAGCTACCTGCTTCTGAATTTTCCTCTCTGCTGTACAGATGTGATTAGAAATTTGATCGTATGGTAGCTTTCAATCTATGCAAAATGTAACTCCTCTTTTTATCTTTACTACTAGAATAATAATTACATATCATGGCCTACGAAAGGTAATGTGAGAAGAAATTAAGAAAGGTTATTTAAACCATATTCTGGTTTTGAATGGTTGATTTAATTGCTCACTGTTTGATCCTTGACGTGTGTAGTAGCACTCAGATCTTTATGCTGTAAAAGTTTTGCTGTCATTTCCTGATTAATTTTCTCAGACCATATTGGTACACTGTACAATTTCATATAAATATGATCTCTGTGGCATGCACCCAAAGTGTCCAGCTGAAAAGTTTAAACTGAAAGTTACAAAATACTGTTGTCCAGTTTCTGTGTCATGAAGTCATAATTGATCAGGAAAGAGAGGGAAAGGAAAAGATAAATTAGGCTACATTTTTGATAATGTAGGATTTTTTTCTAGGCTCATATAGAGGTTTATCTAAGGCTAGTGTATGTGTTGGTTGAACCTTTGGAATCCTGTCAAATACTGCTGTTAATTAATAAATCAGTCTCTCTATTCATGTGTAGCTGGTTGCTTTCTTGAGCCAACACAGCCAGTAGTGTAGCAGTACAGTCAGCTCAGAGCTGCTCCAGTTTAAATTAGTTTTATTTGGAGGAGATGCTTCCCTGCATTGAACTGTAGGGCTGGTAGGGTTTAGGGTTTAACAGCAGTTTCGTTTTTGCATTTGGGTAGACACAGTTAAAAAATGAAAATAGGGTATATGTTCCAGCCACTTGAAAACAAAATTACATTGTTTCTGTTGCCTTGAATTTAGTTAAATGTGTCTCAATAAACATGGAGCTCTGCAGTGGGGCTGAAACTAAGGGGATTGTGATTTTGGAACAGGGGTATGGGAGGGTTGCCCCTGAGAAATGGGACTGAAAGACTTGTGTAGGTTCCCATCTGCTCTCAGTGAGTTTTAGGGGAGCTGTTTTGTTTTCTTGCTTGCTGGAGCTGATTAAAAGCCATTGTAAATTCACTGATGTTACTTTTTCTTTAGGATGTGGGTCAGCATCATCAGAAAGAGTTACTGTCTAAAGCATATGGGTTAAATTAAAAAAAGTGTATGTTCTCCTGGCTTCCTGTGTTTGTGTTCTGTTTATATGTTGTTAAGGTTGGTGTCCAGCTGCCTCTCTGCAGTTTGAAAGTGAGCTTGGGCCAGATGTGAGCAGACAGATCAGGACCTGGTGAGAAGGTCACAATGGGCATAATTGCTTAGGCTTTGTTTTTTGAAAACCATAATTTAGGATTTTTGACCGATTAATATTGTGCAACATGAAGCAGAACTTAATTTCCCTCTTAGATGATAGCTGCATGAAGCAATTTATGTTGTATGTTTAGAAGCTGTGCTTAAACAGCTTCCTGGGCAGTGAAGAGCATAATTTTCAAATCAGTTGAATTTTCAGGTTTCTTGTGATACATATACATAAAGTTCCAGCTCTTATGTAGTTTCTTTTCTATGTGTGTAGATTCTTATTCATGTGTGAGGAGGTATTGTTTGCACCTTCATCTCCTCCTGGCATTATATTATTTGTCTTTCTTTTCCTGTCAGAGATGCTGGTATTTGAAAAAAACCCATAATATGGAGTTGTGACTCATAGAACTGCAGATGTTGCTTGGAAGGGACATCTGGAGGGAGGTCATCTTAGTCCAGCCTCCCACTCAGAGCAAGACTGTTGCCATCATTAGTTGAGGTCAGTTACAGCTTCTAGCATTTAAAGTCTGCCAGGATGGACTCCACCTCTCTGGGAACACTTCCTGGTGTCCAACGTGAACCTGCAAAGCCAATATAGCTGGGGAGAATTTGGTTCTGTTATCTCTGCCACTTCCACCCAGTACCTTTAGGCTCTGTTAAACTGGCCCTCTGCCAGACTGAGCAAGCCCCTTTCCCTCACCATCCCTTACAGACCAGCTGCTTTAGATCCCTGAGCATCCTGAGAGCCCTTTGCTGGTCAGTCTTCAGCTGTGCCACAGCTCTAAGGCAGAGCCCCCAAAACTGTTCTCAATCCTTGGTTTGTAGAGGCAGAGGAATTCAGTTTCTTCACTCCTGGATGGACCTTTTCTGTAAACAAGAAAAGGTGTTCCTCTGCTAGAGACCCATGTCTGAACCACCTAGGAGTACTCTGCTTAGCTTTAATTATTTTCCAGAGAGTCAGGATGATGGGATGCTTAAGGATCTCAAGAGTTGCAAAAGCAGAAGAGAAAAGGATGAATGTCATCCATGTTGTACTTGTGATAGAGATCTGCAAAATCCATAAGATGCAAGAAACAGTGACCTCTGTTTGTAGAAAATATTTACCTTTGAAACTGGGGAGGGATACAGGAAAACACATCTAATATTCAAAGCATGGAGCAGGATTTTATTCTCAGATCACTTGGATTTCAGTGCTGGGTAGAAGGCACACCAGCCCAGGAGAAAGCAGTACGAGGTGATAGCTCCTCAGTCCCTCACTCCCAGAGCCCAAATGTTCTGGATGAAAGGGACAGCAGTAATTGAGTGGAGTATCTGCTGCTCATCAAAGGGGACTCTGGAATTGAAGGAACAGGAATTTAAGTAGTATGGCCCTTCAAAGTGGCCTGAACTGGCAACATATAATTGTAGAGTGAGTTTATTAAGGCTTTTTGATTTTGTTTGGTTTTTTTTCACTAACATACAACAGTTTTGTATTTTAGTAAAGAAGGGGATAAATTAATTAAGTTTTGGATTTCATCTCTCACATTAAATTCCCATGACAGGCCACAAGGTTACAAATGGAACTACTTCTAATTTGGGGGTAGTTTGTATTCAATGAGAAATATGCAGTCCTTAAACCATTTGTTTCAGCAACTGTTCTATGGGATTGAAGATAAAATACTCTAAATAGCTGTGTTCTCAACTGCACATACAGATTAATTGTGAAAATCTGGACAAGAAATTATTCGTACAATCTTAATTTGGAACTTCTGGGGGGACTTGGTTTCAGTTTTCTTCTGGAGTCAACACAAACCTCTGGTGAAGGGTGCACCATGAGGAATAATCAGGCAGGTAGACTGGAAGAGCAGGATCTACCTACCTGTGTGCTGAGTAAATGAGGGTTTGTCTTGAGGGATAAAATAGAACTGCAGGGATTTCCAGCAACACTGTGGCAGTGGCACAGGGCTCAGTTAAAATGGAGACTCAGGATTGAAGTGTCATTTATGTCCTTTGTTCTCTGTCCTCAAGCACATCTGCCCACAGGATCTGTCCTGAAGCCAATCAGCAGGACTGACCAATTGGTTCATGAGATAAAAAATTCCTGGTGTGTTAGGATGTTTGAATTGAAGGACTGCTGAAGGGAAACAATGACGTAGTTAACATTTTTTACTTATGTTTTTTTTCCCCAGAGGTATGGAGAACTTGGTAGCTGGCTCCAATCTTCCTCCACTTTTTACAGATGAGGATGGATCTAAGGAAGGTACTGAAATTAATGTAACTGGGTAAGTAACTCCTTTTTCACCTTCAGCTGGTAGATACTACCTCTGTACTTGTCAGGGAAGTTTCAGTGGGAGGAGGGCATTCTAAGTAATTTTTAAAAAGAGAAATAAACCCGACAATTCAATTCTGCAATGTTCCCTTGGCCTTGATAGAAGATCACAGGACTCTGTTTAGGAGAAACCAGAACTCTTGTGAACTGATGGAAGTTTTCACAAACTGTTCTTTAATATCTCTTAGCTTTAAAAGGTAAATCCCTTAGGATTTCAGCCTTAAGACAAGTGACATTATGGGGACAGAGAGGGAGGAAGTATCTGTTGGCCATAGTGGTCTCTGCTAGGTGAATGATTTCAATTAAAGTTACACTGTTCATCAGTGATCTCTGAAACTGATCACTGAGGCTGATATCTCATTTTTGTTAGTTCGACTCTGCTTTTACAAACTGCAACAATGGCCTCTTAAAATCACATTGCCAAGAGAAGTTTTCTTTTAAGAATGCATGGAATTTTTGCTGTGTTTTGATAATTGAAACTTCTTTTCCATTTTGCAAAGCGCCAAACAGTAAAATTCAGACTTTGCAGTCAGGTAAAGCCCTGTAGAAATGAATGTGAACTTTTTCACTTTAAATGGATCTGAATTTTGATTTACTTATCTGGGACTTCAAACTTGTTGGTGCCAAATTAGGTCCATGTTCAAATTAGGCTTGTGTTTAAGAGGTATTAATGTTTTGGCTGAGCATCCATCAGTGTTTGCTGTAAATGGCTGCATCACATGAATTTTTTCCTGTGGTTATAGTTTAAAGAGCTTCTCTGCTAAAGGGGAATGGCGAGGAAAACTGAAATACTCTTCAAACCCTAACAGTGAATCCTGAGCTGTGTTATTCCTATTCTTTTTGACACATACCAAATATAATTAAGCTAAGGGAGGGTGTCTGCTCTGTTCCCTTGGTCCCTCTCTAATTGTCAGTAATGTGAGCTCAATCTGGTGTCTCAAAGTCAGCGATGGATCTCTGCCGCCCTTTTGTCTTTACCAGTAATTATGTCACAATTGCTGATTGTAGTGAGCAGTGAAAATATGCTGCTCTCTGAAGACAGATATTCCCATGGGCATTCAAGTAACAATTCTGTTAATACATATAAAATTTTATAGCTGTATTCTACATTAATAGGAACAGTTATTTTGAATATTTAAAATTTGCCATAGACATGAGTAGCTTTAGACTGGAATAAATGAGCAAAGGAGACTTGAAACATACCCTGCTGTTAAAGGAATTTTCATGAATGTAACTGGGTAAGGCCAAGTATTCTTTAGTCTCAAGAAGAGTTTAGAATCTGAGACTGGGTCCAAAAATCTTATATTTATTTGCCTACTGAGCACAGTGCTGAGAGTGTCCAGGGAGTTGTTGCCCCAGAATGTGTGTTCATCGCTGTCAGTCTACCTTCAGAAGTATTTCTGCAAGTTTGCTCTTCTTTTTTTTTGCCTGCAGACATCTTGCCCTTTTTTGGAGTAAGGTAGATTGATACAGCTCTTGCAGCAAAATTAAATTATGGCCATTCTGGGACCTAGTCATGTTTGTGTTTAAATACCCATGTGTATGAACAGGAGAGTGTGTGGAATGAAGTTCAATCCAAGATCATACCCAGTCACAGATCTCTACATGTATTTGTGGAGAAATAGATTAAACACATCCAGAAAGGTGTATCTTGGTTGATGAGGAAACTTTTAATTTCGAATTCCTTGTGGTACTTTTGAAGAAGGATAGGTTCACACTGTCTGGTTTCTGATGGCAAAAGTACACTTGCCTGCAAGTTGTTTGTGTGATCAAATGCTTCACTAAAAATGAAACAAAATATCACTTTAAAAAATCAAACTGGTTCTGAAACTCCATAGGAACTGTGGTAGTTACAGTGGTTGCTTGGATGGAACAGCCAGTTCTTCAAAAATTGCTTCTAAATCCAATTTTTTCTTTCTAGTGTGAGAATGAATATATTTGCAACATTTTTGCATGTTTTAGAAGATTAGGGAGGAAGTGATTTAGGAATGATGATTAAATTTTTTTTCTTCACTTCTGTGCTTTTTCAGATTAGCTAATTCGGAGAGTTCATTCAGTGGTGGAACTTCACAGCCTGTGAATAACCCAGATTTGGTGGAAGACTTGTCACAGGCTCAGCAGCAGCAAAATGAGACTTCTAATGCTGCTGAAACCACTGAGCAGAAGCCTGAGGAGGAGGTGAGATGAAATAATAGTAACTTTTCAATGAAGCAAAGGCATGGAATTTTGTCATTATATTGTCTTACCAGCTCAGATTTTATTTTTAATAGGATCACAAATTTTTATCTGTTTGCCATGTTCATCTTCTGATTCCCTAATTTTCTCCTGCGTTGCACAGCTGCACACAGATAGCTGGCAGTTGAGATGTGCAGAGAGCAGCACATGGGTCTCAGCTTAGCCAGAGGGGCCCACAAGCCAGTGCTGCATTTAGGACTGAATGTTCAACTGCCACAACTTATCTTCTGTCTTGTGAGCCAGCAAAGTGAGGCCTTTGTAATGTTCTGGTGCTAAAACCATTATGTTCTTATTGCTTTAGGCTATACCTTGTGTACCGTCCAACACTGATTTTTGGTGACTAAATCATGAAGGATCTGAAGTAGAACTAGGAAGTAGTTTTGGGGTTTTCTGGTTTGTTTGGTTTTTTGGTTTTTTTTGGTTTTTTTTAATAGATGTATTTGACATTCTTCCTTGTAGTTTGTTTTCAGCTGTGAGGTCCTTTTTTAATTAAGTAATAAAATCCCAGGAGGGAAGCAAAAAGTAACATTATGGCAGGAACATGTTGATCTGGGGAAAGATTAGAAGTACTACAAATAGTTTTATGTACGTAGCATTAGAAAATAGTGTTGTCCAGAGCTTGCTGAAGAAGTAGTCTGAAGCCAAGAGAATGAGTGATAATGATGTTATTCCTGTGAACTCACAGTGTGCCCCAGACACATCTTACAGTATTCCCTTCTTTGGAGTTTGTTTGTTGCTCCATTGGAGGTGGTTACTGGGAAAGACAATCTACTGAATAGATGAGAGTAGAAAAGCCTGTATGTTGTCTTTACACCCACATTTTGGGCACATTTTGCATGAAGGACAAAGATCTGGAAGGTGCAAAATAACTAGTTATCAATTATTAACTAGTACAGAAAATCTCTCCAAAAAACCTATTGAAGTAAATGACTTGCAGGGGAGGCTGTGTGAGGGTGAGAATAACTAAAACCAAGCAAACAAGTAATAAAAAATATTTGCAGTTGCATTGGTTGAGTTGATCATGTTGTGGATTATCAGTCCCTGTGATTTTACAGTCAGAAGTTGATGCCAATGTTATTTTGTTGTCCCTGTGGACTAGGAGAAACTGTAAGCTGCTTTTCACAATGAGACTTGTTTGGCTTTGTTTAGACAAAAGTCAGGATAGCTCTAAAGTAGGGTTTGAAACCTGCATCCATGGAGAGGTTGCAGCCATGTACTCCTGATGAGGTAGTTTATTCCTCCCAGAGGTGGTTATTTTCACTCAGCCTGAATTATCTTCCGTTTTCATCTTGCAGCAGCAAAGAACCAAACGAGGAGGCTGGGCCAAAGGGAGAAAAAGGAAGAAACCCCTCCGGGACAGCAATGCCCCCAAATCCCCCCTCACCGGGTACGTGCGGTTCATGAACGAGCGCAGGGAGCAGCTGCGGGCGAAGCGGCCGGAGGTGCCTTTCCCAGAGATCACCAGGATGCTGGGCAATGAGTGGAGCAAGCTGCCCCCTGAGGAGAAACGGGTACCACTGCACTTCCTTGTCCTTGCTGCATGGCTTTGCTGCTACCTGGGAATGTTGTTTCGTGAGGAAGGTGACACAGGCTGTTGGTTGAAATTGTGTTTAGGAGGATATTTCAAAATGAGGCCACAGGTTCACATGATGAGCCCTGGCTGGGCCATGACATCTCCTCTGGGGTGACTTGAGGAGAACTGTATCCTCTAGGTAATGCAAGAATACATCCAGAATGGGGGTATTGCTCTAATGACGCATCCCACAGTTCGTGGGATCCATCTGGATGTAACTCTGCTCTACCAGTTCAGATACATCTGAGACTTGTAAGGCCAAAGTCTTGGGATGTAATGTTTCCTAATTGGGAGTCCTTGTAGCCTTCTGCACTATCTGACAAGTGAATGAAGCTAAAGGCCATGTTTGGGCTGTTTCTTAGGGCTTTCTGGAGTGGACCTTGTTAATTGGTTAATTGCTAATGGATGTCTTACTGTCCACACCTGGTTGCCAGTTGGAGATTACTGCAAAGCAGTTTTTAAATCACAATGCTAATGAATGCTCTCATATTAATTTAATCTTCATATTTGAACTTTGAAATATACTTTAAGGGTGTAATGAAAATTGAGATGACACAAAAACACCAAGATTTCCTTCTGTTGTTTTTTGCTAAGCTTGTAGAATACCACTTACAGAAATGATATGAAATGGTGCCTAAACACTGGGATTGAACCATAATAGAAAATACATGGCAAGGCAAAGCAGTTGGTTTGATAGAAGGGATAGTGAGAATGATGTTGCTTAGAGAAAAGTCAGGATTGCTCCTATGTAACGTTGGAAACTTACATCCATGGAGAGGATGTCTTGCAGTGATGAAAATATCTGCTGGAAGAGAAGGGGAAAAAGACATCTGTCCCTCTGTCCCCTGCACTTTAACATATTCTTATCATGTCTCAGGCAGATTTTTAACCTGAAAAAGGAAATTGAGTTCAAATCTCTATTCTGTATGCTGCTTTTTAAATTCCATGGGAATCTGTCCCTGAGTAAAGCTGTAAGTTTCTAGCTCAGAGCAGCTCAAGAGAAGACTGCTGAGCCCTTTCAGCAACACGTAGCTGGAGGTGGAAAAAAAGAATTAATATCTTACAGACAAATAGCATGTCCAAAAGCAATGCCAACCCAAAAGCATCACCAAATTTGCACCTCAATCCAGAATGTTACCACTGTCATCAGCAGGGTCAAAATTGTGTTGCAAATGTATGGAAATCATAATTTATATGTATTGTCATGATGACTTAAAAGAGAATACCAGGTGACTAAGGTTCACTGATTTAATTCTTACATTCATTGAATTTCAAACTCATTTGGAGAAAAAATTGGGAAGGCAACTTTTTTTCTTGAAAGGATCCCATTAGTAAGCATTGTGACCATTCATTAAATGTTTTTCAGTTCATCAATTCCCTTAGAGAATTTTCCACCTAAGCTCATTCTGTCATGCAGATGTGTGAAATATCTTCAGGTTAATAAAAAAATGTTTCTGTTAACCAAAATGCAGATGGATTATATAAATTTAAAAAAGTTTTCTAATAGCCAAAATGCAGATAGATTACATAAATTAAAACCAGGTTCTTTTATCTTTACACTGCTCTTTGCAATAGCCATGATGTTTTGTTCACTTCTCAGATGTGCCAAGTGTGTGGTGGTGATTTTTGTCTGTGGGGCATGAAAACAAGTGTGTATTTGGAACTCCACTGTTATGGGTCTGAACCATAAAGCATCATCTGATCTATCATCTGATAAGATGTTATTGTTTGGCAGCACTTCCTCCGGGCCACAGAACAGGAATTCTGAAGTGTCTGGTGTGTAACATGTCAGTAATGCTCAGCTGGGTAGAGTAGCTTAGTAGCAAGTTACTCCTAGGCTTACCAAAAAAAATTAAGAGAATAGTTATTATAAGAGAATACAGTAATTTTATCCAGAGATCTGATGTCTTTGCACCTCATTGTTTCTTCACTCCTCTCCTGTTTTCATAGGTGAAATACTTCAGCACTTTATTTGACAAGTTGTTTTTCTTCCCTTCCTCCTGAAGAGGAGGAAACTCCCTGAAACCCCCTTGGACTTTTTTGTTTCAGCGATACCTTGATGAAGCAGACAGAGATAAGGAGCGTTACATGCGGGAGCTGGAGCAGTATCAGAAGACTGAAGCCTACAAAGTCTTTAGCAGGAAAGCACAGGACAGACAAAAAGGCAAATCACACAGACAAGGTATTGAACGGGACAAAAGTGTGTGCCTAGCTAGAACAATAGAAGATTCCCAGTCAGTCATGTAGCCTGACACTCTTTTAAAGCCTTGGATTTAAAGGCTGGTTAAAAATGTGTACCACAGAAAGAAGTATTTACCTCAGCTGTGTGTAAAGGGAATTAGACTTAGGTGAATTTAACTGTGTCTAGATTGTGTTGGAGGATATGCTTTAAGAGCATCAAAGTTAGACACAGCTTCTCTTTGACTTTGTAGGAGAGCTGCACAAGTCTGTCTAGAATTGTTGTGTAATTAGGGTTGTGTAACTGCCTTAATTCTTTGCTTCTTATTTTCTTAAATTTTGTTTATTTTGAGAGACTTCTTCCTTGTTTGTTTTTTTTTTTCAGATGGAGCAAGACAGCCAGCTCATGATCATGAGGTAAACCTCGTAATTCTACATTTACATCAGTGGGGAGACTTTCAAGTGAAAAAAACTTGTAGTGGAGTCAAAACCAAGTTTATCAGAACTTGAGTGTGAATTCTTCCTCTTCCTAATGCAGGGTTTGAAAAGTTAGAAACAACTGAGTATTCTTACATTCATTGGTATGACAAAACTAAATTGGATAAGTCTGGGGTAGGTACAAATGATAGGTGGAATGGAGCATAGGATACACAATACATAGGTCTGTTTTGTAATGCAATGTTAAGAATTAAAAAATAATGTGAGACCTCAATAAACCTGCCAAATTAGCACCTTTGAGTGTCTGTTTTCAAGTACTATTTTCTTGCAGTAACACAAATGCTTGTGGCTTCCTTGAGAAGAAATGGGTAAAGCAACCAAATTGGAAAAACTCTGGCTTAAACCTCCTCCTAACCTCCCTTGCCCTCTGCATATGTAAATATTGGAAAAGAGTGATAATGTCTGGAGGTGGAGCTCATCAACTACAGCACAGGCATCTTACCACAAATCTTGTGTGTCCTGGCTGTCTGTGGTTTCTCTCTCCTTGAAACACTGCAGCTTTCTCCAGTTGTATTACCTAGGGCCACAGTGCTTCTGAAATGGTTATCAATAAATTGCAAACAAAGAGCAATGAAAAAAATCTTGATTATACACAGCCTCTTCACTTGTAAGCAGTAGGGCTTTCTGAAAGATCTGTTTTACTTTGTGAGGCTTTTTGCCTTGGGAAAGCAATCCAGTTTGCTTCTAATGTGTTCATTACAATAGTGACAAGGCTGAGCGCTGCTGAGAGGCAGCTACTGGTCTTGAAGGAAAGTACGTTTCACTTTCAGGAAAATGATTTGGTAGCATGTTTTTAATGTGCCTTTTATTAACTCCTAAAGGAAGTGCTTGCAGTGAGATTATCTATTATTTGGAAGTACGTGGTCCCCAAGTTTTCTGATTCTACAGTCACTGAATCCAAGTTTGTCTTTAATTGTACAAAAACTAAAGGCTTCAAGTTCTAGGTTGACATTTACATTATACATGTGACAAACTACAGATTTGGAGTCTTCCCTTTTACCCTTCTAATTCAAGCTATCATTGCTGATCTTTTACGTTATAAATGCAGTTAAAAAACAAGTTCCCCTCACCCTGTAGGATGTTTAAGCTTCATCAGATACAGCTGAACATCAATGTGTCAGTCAGACATTCCACTCTGAACTGTGCCTTTGACTACTTGGTGTTTTTCACCTTTATATTTATAAAATCCCACATGCTTATCACCTGATGTGTTTTTGCATCTTTTGTGCAGGGAAGTGAAGTATTATAATCCTGTATAGCTAAGGAATAAGCAGAAAAAAATTAGATGGCTTTTAGAAGTGTCTGCTCAAGTTGTTACTGGAAGTGAAGCTAAAGCTCTTTGTTATCTTGCTGCTTTCTCCTGTCCACACTGACTTTTGTTGCTGTGTTTGTGATTAGCAGGTACAAGCTGATGAAATTATTTCTTGAGAATATAAGAAAATAAGGTCAAAGAAAGCTTTTTTCTTTCCCTTCTGCCACTTTAGTGTTTATGATGTAGTTTCTGTAAGTTGATGTTGAAGATATTTTCAACATTGTACATAGAGTTGACCTCTAAAGAGTTTCATGACGGGCAATTCAAATACTGATTATAATAAAATATAACTGAAGGATGAGAGAGAACTTATAATAGATACTGCCTTGAAAAACATGCACACACTGTCCCCGGAGCTCATCTATGGGCATGAAATAGAACATTTTTCTTCCTTCAAATTCTAATTTCATAAATATCACATACAGCAATATACACTGGAACTATTGTCATCAGCAGTGACTAAACTCTTGGATAATTGTTCTCCATTGTTCTGTTATTGTTTATTTGCTCAAGCTGCTTGATTCCAAGTGGATCTGGCATCATGAACTCAGTTTCATTTGTTACTGGAAAGCTTTCAAAGGTTTGTGCACACAGGTTGAGGAGAGCAGGGTGGTACCTACCTCGTGGTACCTACTCTGAGAACATTTAATGGAGTAGTACATTTATTATATCTGTTCCTTCCACTGTTTGCAGCCTGACCATGGCAGCAAAGGTGAGCTTAAACCCCCCCAAAATCTCAGCTGTCTCATTACCATACTTCACTGCATCACTAAGAACCTCAAGCCTGATTCATTGCAGAATCTTCAAAGTTCAACCTCAGTTTTAATAACCAGATGAGACTGTTGACTCTTGAAGCATCTCAGTCTTATTTAAGGTAAATGATAGAAAGAATTTTGATTCTCTTTTGGTTTGAGAGATGCCTAAATGATATGTGAACTCAGCAGACTGGGTCCTTTCCAATAGGAGGGAATCAAAGCCTTAGGATTTTAATCTTCAGTGAACCTCAGTGTGGCTTAAGTACTTCAGGGTTCTCAAGAGGATTTTTTATGTGCTGGGTAATGTATTTTGTAATGGGAGAGTACTGATGGTTTTAATGATCACTCATCTGCTTAGTAGAATTTCTTGCCTTTTGGAAGCTGGACAGTTACATTTTTAGTTTTTACCTGAAGAACCTGTATCCTAGGGCTGCAAAGAGAATATCTTCTTCTATTGGCAGTACTGTCACCTCCACCATCTATTCTGTAGGAGCCTGTGATGATCCAAGCCAGTGGCTCTTTGCACACAGATAATAACTGTGAGCATGAATTAGAATGTTTAAGATGGATGTTTTTTCTAAGTGTTCTAACCAAGCTTCATAACTGCCAACATTTCTTAGTGCACATTAATGTTGAGATCTTAGATTTTGGGGTGAAATTACTTCTTAGCCATCTAGCCATTTTGTCTAGTGTTCAGACAAAACAAATGCATTATTCACACTTCTGTGTGTGACTTCTCTTTCTAAGTATACTCTTGAGACATTTGCCCTGTAGCAGCACTTACAAAATCTTCAGTGAAAAGCACTTGTGATCATGAACCCCAAATAAACCCTACTGTGCCTCACAGAGCTGGGAAGAGTTGCCCTTTCCCTCCAGTCTTCCCTGTTTCTCATGTGTCTCCAGCTGATTCAGGCCAAGTAAAGTTTGAATTCTCACTCAGTAAATGCAAAGCTCCTTAACTGTAATTGTGCCACACAGTAAAAGCTAGCTTATCTTTAAAAGCAATCAATGGACAGTCTGTCTCCTGAGGGAAAAACAGAGTAGTTCAATCTAGTCTTGTCTGTCTTGGTTGGCTGTCAGATGGCATTCAGGGAAGCCCATGTACCCCTCGTGTGGCAGACACCACTGTGGCACTCTGAATTCAGGGGCCAGAATTCCCTTACCAGCTGTCAGACACTGAGGTTGTCTGCTGGAGGACACCAGTCATGTGTAACACTGCAATTCTGGATGATGAGTTTGTGGCACATTATCAGCCATGGTGTTTGAGAGTTCTGAAAGGCTTTTGTTCTCCACGGGCACTTTCCTGCTTAACTTTATTTCTGTGCTAAGTTACAGGTTGATCATAGTTGCTGCAGTTTATCAAATCAAATTTGTGTTGGCTTTGTCCATAATGATTCAGATGCTAAAACAAGCATTAATTCCTCTTGATTTAGAAATGATGACTGATGTATGTTATAGTATGGGGGTTTTGCCTTGAGTCAAATCACATTTTGTACAGTTTTTTGACTAAATTGTAGAACATTTCCTGATTTAAATGTGTTTTTTGTTTTATCGCTTTGGTGTTGGAGGCCAAGAGCCATTACTTATTGTAATTACTTATTGTAATTACTTATTGTGCATTTTGCTCACCCTGTCTCCTGTTTGTTGATATTCCTGTAAAGACTATTGCAGAATATGTCAGTTGGTTGATGGTGGAAAATATAAATGCTTTCTGATAGTTTTTAAAACTGAATTATTCTCATATATAATGGCATTAGGATGAAAGAGTGTATTTTAGTATGTTGTGTGTTATTTCTTAATGATGATGTTTGATTAAACCTATATCTTGAAAATCTAAGACATATCCTTTGGCCTTTCTTGGTAGGAGCTGGAAGTGTCTTTAATCCATTCAGCTTTTAGCTGCCTCAGGTTTTGGTTTCCTTGGCCTTTTATTCTCAAAGTGATCAAAACAGTTAAATGAATTCCTGAAAACAAACTGTTTAGCTACATTATTACTCTTTTCTGTTGTAGAAAGAAGCAGACACAAAGGAGAGGTCTGTCTTTGATATCCCAATCTTCACAGAAGAGTTCCTGAATCATAGTAAAGGTAATTTTAACTTTTCCAGGACACTTTCCTCCTTGCTTTTCCAAAATTCTTGGCAAATGCTGGCCTGCTGAAGAGTCCTTGCACTCTTCTATCCCAGCACATGTAAAGACTTGGGTATAGTTTCTGCTATTTACCTCTGTATATACAGAATGGCTGAAAAGCAGTTTTTCCTGGCATTGTCTTCCCAAATTAGACTTTTTTTAGAATGTTTCTGATGTTTATTCCAGCCAGTTCAAGCTGTGTCTACTGTTCTATAGAATTAAGAAATATCTGAGATGTATCCTGATGGGGATTCCAGGCTGGTTAGCAGTATTTTATTTCCCCCCATATGTGGAAGGCTACACTGATTTTCTGTTACTCTGGTTTTCATTTCTGTGTGTCTCAAGAGTTGAGTATTTTTGCCAGATTTCTTGAAGACTTTCTTGACTGAACAGAATTTAGATTCAGATACTTTCCATGGTCAATAGAAGATTATTTTTGTAACTGGCATCATGTTTGTAGAATTCTTAGCACTGCTGCTAAACTTTGTCATTCTGATTGCATTTGAAATCAGATTTTTAGTCTTCTTCCCTGATCAATTCCCCCATTCACTTCAATTCTGATGCTTTGAATGTTTTCCTAGTTGTCTTTCTCTCTAGGAATGATCTCTGTAAAGTGCCGCTGTAGGTGCTGTTGTCACCCCGTGATGTGATGCTCTTTATCTATAAACCACAATGGCACCATTTGTAACTATCAGCTGAGCACTCCAGAACTTTCTGTCTCGTTGCCTGCCGGTCCTAGAGATGTTTGTAGCAGCTTTTGACTCCCTGGGAATGGGTTGATGTTCGCAGCCCGTGAGGCGGAGCTGCGGCAGCTGCGCAAATCCAACATGGAGTTTGAGGAGAGGAACGCGGCCCTGCAGAAGCACGTGGAGAGCATGCGCACGGCCGTGGAGAAGCTGGAGGTGGACGTGATCCAGGAGCGGAGCCGCAACACCGTGCTGCAGCAGCACCTGGAGACCCTGCGGCAGGCGCTCACCAGCAGCTTCGCTGGGGTCCCGCTGCCGGGTGAGCCTGGGAAATGGAGCTGCTCGTGTTCGTGTCGTCCTCGGGGCTGAGAACACGCGGCCTGCTGTCGCACTTCTGTGCTCTTGGCTGTTTCTGAGCTTTTGTTGCATGGGATAATGAAATACTAAAATGCACGCAGGGAGAAGTGTATAGCCAGTGCTTTATTTCAACATGACAGTTATTTTCTTATTACTCTTACTCTTCCTAATAAAGTGAGGCACGTATTCAGTCCTGGCTCTCCTTCACTTGTTTTATGAAAATGTTACTGAATAGAATAGACAGGACTTGCAAGTTCCTTGATTAAAATAAAGGCTGTGTCTGTATTGTCAGCTGTCAGGGAGCCCACTTAGAGTCTATGGATGCCCAGCTGAAAGAGTTTTTTATAATCAACTACGAGACCCAAATCAAATTAGATCCGTGCTTCATTAGTCCTGATATCCTTAGAGCTACTCACTTTGTGGAGTTAGGAGCACATTGTTTAGCAGAATCTGTCACAAGAGGTGGTGCATAGCAAAATCACCTCCTATAGCAGTTTCTGTGTTGGCACAAATTACCCTTAGCATAATGATAACTTTTTTGAATTGCTGTGGTTATCAAAATACCTTGTGGATAATTTCACTGTGTTCACTGTAGGCAGCGGGGAAACCCCCACAATGGAAACGATTGATTCCTACATGAACAGACTGCACAGCATTATCCTGGCCAACCCACAGGAGAACGAGAACCTCATTGCCACGGTGCGGGACGTGGTGAACAGGCTGGAGCGTTAGTGACGGGGTAGGTGTTCCCTCCCAGGCTGCTTGTGGTGTCTGCTCCCTGCTTTTGGCACCTGTTCTGCTGCTGATGCCTGTGCTGATCACCATATTGTACAATCTAAAAGGTTTCTTCCTCAAAGCTGCAGGAGCAGGTTGTCTTAATGAAAGTCAAATTGGGTTGAAAGGATTCCATGGCTTTAAAGGGTTCTGAAATTCAAAACAAATGCATTTAGCTCCAAGATCTTTATATATTTGTATAAGGTGAGTAAGAGTTCTGACAGAATGGTAACAGGGTGACTAATTTAGAAGAAGGTTCCTTTCTTGAGTGAAGTAAATCTGAAGATTTTAGCAGTAATTGTAGAAACTGATGGCCACAGGGAGATTCTATTTGTCTCAAGAGGTTACAGGTGAACTCAATTCTGTTATAAACTGAAAATACCCTGTCTCGGTTCAGTGGCACCTCAGTAGTTAGGCTGTTGTAATTAGGAAGGCTTAGATATAAATGGAACACTGAGGTATGGTTTAAGCTGTACATAGCATTTACTGACACTAATGTTTGTGTCTTATGCATAGATTATTATTGAGCTCATGGTTCTGTATTTTTGCTGCTGTTTAACAGCTTAGAAAACTGTAATAGAGAACAGAGTAGAAAAACAAATTAACAAAGAAGTAAATACCAGTCTTTCTGCATTACTGTGCTGTTTTGCATTTCCCACACCTCTCACTCCCCCACTTCCCCATGATGCACAGCACTAGGCAGCCATGAGGGGTTTGTCTGTTTCTATTTTAACAAAGTACATACCTTCATTCTTCAGGCATTTATTATGTAGAGATCTACTGTACATGTCTTGAATAGTGTTTAGAAATGCAAATAAAGCTGCCTTGTGCCATCTGCAAATATGAAGACAGGGCTTTTCATCCTTTCTGGTTCTGACCTTTTGTGGTGCTGTGTAGAACAGTTAATTACACATTTCCCATTATAGTGTGGCTTTAGCTGGGAGATCATTGTCCTTCAGGAGGGTAGCCAGATGGAACGGACTGTAGTTCTAAGAGATGACTGAGCTCCCAGCAGAATAAAGAAGTGCCTTTACTGCTGCTATTTGTGAAGGGAACAGCTTGTCGATCCAGGTCTGGGATTTTTCAGCAGCTCATCAACCTCCTCCTTTTTGTATATTGTTTTCAACTAGTTCTCAGGCTCGGAAAGAGAATTGAGAGGGGAGGTTTTACAGAATGGCTAAAAAGGAAAGCAGTTTCTCATCCATCAGTTATTAGAAGGATATGCCAGGCCCAGAAATGGATATTTGTCCCTTAAGCACCTTGCTAGAAAAATCCTGTCACAAAGCTACTAAAATCTGGACTTTCATTCTCTTGCCAGGTGGCTTCATCTTTCCTAAAGGATAGACAGTTCCCTTGTTCCTAAACATATGAATACAATTTTCTTGGATAGGCTAGATTTGGCTGTAATTGATTTAGAAAAGGTAATTCTTGCTTTAAATTCTTCCTTCCAACCTCTGTTTGAAAAATAGTACTTCTTTCTTTTCTTTTCCTACCAATGCTTTCCTTATTTTCAGCAGCGAAACAGTGTGAGGCGATTAAAAATGTGATTAATAATCACATAGGTTTACTGGATAATGACATGCATGTAACTGAAGATAATGATCAAGTAATTAATGGGACTGTTAATTACACTGACTTTCACTTGGCAATGATTATATTTTGAGACAAAATTTTGGAAGGAGGAAGGTTGGGTTTTGTTGCCTGCAAAGCTAGAAAATGGTAGAGATTCCTGGAAAACAAGGAAGCTTTGGATAAAAGGTTCATCTGGCACGTTATAAACTGTATCAACAAACTGTCATCATCGGTGTCCCCTTATTAATGTGCATATGAATGATAAATGTAATCTGTCAACCAAGTGGTCTGTTTGAGGTTGGGACACATCACAAATCAATACCACAGAAAACTGTGCCATAATGCTCCTGAAAACAACTCTTTCACAGGTCTGAGGTGGGTTTTGGTGGCTTAGTACATTGTGTTTAGGGACTATTTGATTATACTGGCGAATATTTTGTTTTTTCTGTACTGCATGGTAAAAACTTCTTTGTGCAAACAGCATATGGGAAGAAGAGGAAAGGTTTTGTTATTTAGCACTGGATGAAAACAGCAACTCAGTTTGGTTGTGTCTGTAGAGGCTGCTTTACTATCCTGAATGTTGTGTTTTCAGATCAAACACCCCAGAAACCCATATCACGGTGCCTGTTTAGTCCTGGCAGATTGTAGCCTTCTAACCTTTATTTTTCTGTTTTGTCTGCAGGTCTCGTGACCCGGGGAAGCTTTACAAAATTTTTTTGGCCAGTGTGGAATAAGAAGCCATGGGGGAAAGCCTAGGGTGGGAGGCAGGATGGCAGGTTTGTCCTGGGCCCTGCCTGTGTGTTTTGTCAGGGAGACAAACAGATCAATGCATTAAGAGATCTTAAGAAGCCACGGACACCGCCCACTCAACCTTTGGAACTGTCCTCTGTGTGAACATTTAAGAGCATGCAACTTTTGTGCAATCTACATTTTTTTATGGGTTTTGCTGGGTGTGAGGGTGCCTGCGTTCTGTGGACTGGCTGGCTGTGGAGATGAAATCTCGGCTTGTGAAATGGAGTCAGCGTATATGTTGTAGTAATAACTTTGATGTGTTATATTGCCTAATGTCTCCTAGTGTCTTTTATTTTGTTTTCATGTTTATCCTGTGGGGTTACCCTCCTTCACTTCAGTTCTCTTCTTTTGATCTTGCTCCCTGATTATTGCAGTACTGGATAGCAGTAGTTGTGTTCTCTGCTCTAACAGGGAGTTTTCCTTGGTGCACTGTCTTGTCCTATGTCTCCTGCTATGTTTATAAGAGCTTTTCTTAAGCAGAATGCTGGTTTTTTTTTTTTTTTTTTTTTTTTTTTTTTTTTTTTTTTTTTTTTTTTTTTTTTTTTTTTTTTTTTTTTTTTTTTGTATTATCCTGCAATTCCTACAATGTGACTTTGCCCCTGCTAGAGAGTGGCTGAGGTTGATGCTTTGTGACTTGATTTTACTGTGAGACAGACTTCTTCTCTCCCCTCTCTTCAAGCACCTCTCTTGCACATTGTATCCTGCTCTTCTGTGAAGGTCTCCTGTTACCTTTTGAAAACGTTTGCTGGAGCATTTTACTATCATAAAGATCAGTGGAAATCAAGATAGAAAGTGAAACATTAGTTCTTCTCAGCAGGGAAAATGGGATTCTTCAGTTTAGACTAAACCCACAAAGCTTGCCCTTCCTCTGATACATTGTTCAGTCTAATTTAATGTTATTGCCTTGTTTTTGAGAGAATGATCTCACGGGGAAAGCAGTTTTCTATAAAAAGTGAAATGGGCATGGGGATTGCATTTTTTTCCCTCCCTGCCCTCCTGAAATGGCTGTGCTGGGAATCAATGTGTCTGGAAGCAGCACATATATTTTTGCATATATTATTAGAGCAGAGAAGGTTATTACCAACTAGGTCCACATAGCCCACAGAACTCAGCATCACAGCTTGCTTCTGCTTTCGCCTTTTGTACAGTCAAGGACTGCCCATGGACCCCATAGCATTCAGCATTTTGTGTTCCAGCTGACCTAAATGGCCTTTCACTTGCTTTAATAGAGCTCTGCATGTTTGAGTCTGATCTTGCTGAGCTACACCACACCTGGCAGAGCTGAGGCACCCACTGTCTGCACTGGCTTATGCAAAACTTTGCCTGCTCTTTGGTTCCTGTCAAATTGCTGATTCTGACTTTGGCTCAGCACTTGTTGGACATCTCTGGGCTTTATGGGGGTGGTTGAAATACTCTTGCTCCCACATGACAATCTCTTTGCTCTTGCTCAAGACATCTGTTAAGATTCCCCATTATGATGTGGAGGTTGCTTTCAGCATCACTTTAATGTACTTGTGACACAAATATTTTGAAGATTGAAAACCAGTTTCTTCTTTTCCTGTGCTGTACACATGGACAGCATGCTGACCTGGAGCCATCTTCAGGTCAGCACCTTGTATGCAAGGTCTCAGCTTACTCCTGGGGTTATTGCTGTAGCCAAGAAGCAAGGATTTCCATGTAAATCAAGTCTTCCTTCAGGGAGGAAACTCCTTTCTCTTGTTATCTGTTTTGCTTTCAAGATTTCACAAAAAGGAACCTCAGTTATCTGCATTGACTTCCACTCTCCTTAGCATGGATGAGACCAGCTGATGCTGCCATGAACTATTTTAGTGGGTTCTGTAATGAATGTTGTAAATCCTAGAGGTTGTTAATGCCTCCACTAGAAGCACCTACACCTTCATCTCATGTATGTATCTATGTAGTTTTTTTAGAACTGGTGATGTTTGACTCTCTGTTGAAGTGGCCAAAATGTGCTGCCCAGCCAAAACTGATTTACAAAATCCTGAAGTTCTGTCTGTGGCATCCTACCTAATACCTGGAGTTGTATCCCATAAAGACTCCAAAAATTCCATCTAATGTAGGATGTAGTTCCATCCATGTAGGATGCTGTAGCATATCCAATCCATCAGCAGGGTCAGATGGCTTCAGGCTGCCTGCTTACAGAAATCTGCTTATGGATACTGCTCATCCATCTCTGCTGAGAAGAATGCAAATGTTGTGGGATAGGAAATTTAAGGTGATATTATTAGCTGGGGGCTGACAAATCTCTTGCCTTTTCCCACAAGGAGGGAGGTGGGGTAGATTATCCATCTTGAAGCATCTGGGGGAAGACTGAGCTCTTGCTCACTGATGATGTGACAGATGATATTTTGTCTCATTAAGAAGCTTCTTATTTATGTTTATTAACCCTATAAAAATGGATTTTGTCTTTCCAGTGTTTCCAGAGTGTCACTTCAGTTTACAGTTTTCAGTGTTGACTGATAAAAAAAAAAATGAAGTGGGTGTCAAGTGGAATAAAATGCTTCTGTCACTTGCAGAAATGTTAAGAGAAATATCTGAAAGCAGAATTCATTTGCTGGATTAACATGTTTGGAATTGTTTAAATGCCAAGTTTTCTGTACAGTGTTTTTGTAATTAAACTTTGGAGTTCCTTGGTTTCTAAGAAGTTGATGTGCTTGTTTGACACTGCTTCATTAAAATTGTTCAACGCTGAATCCATTCTGATTCCATTTTAACTGCATTTTTATGAAAGAACTATTACTACATTGATCTCTTGTCAGAGAGTTTGGCAATTCCACGTTAACTTTTGAAAGGAAATGTGCCTCTTCCACCTCTCCATCCTAAGTGTCTTCCTCTGGAAAAGCTGAAGGAATTTAGGTAATTACTTACAGTGGTGAAAGTGTCAGAGTTTTTGGTTATAGCTAATGGTTATCAGGGCCTTTCCCCAACTTGACTAACTTTAAAAATTTCATATCTCTCACTCAGCCCTTTTTTTACATCCTTGTCTTCTTTTAGTCTCCCTAATTTCCCACCATCAGAGTGATTTTCTTTAAGAACCTTCTGTATCATAACTATTTCTCCCTACTTGATTTTCTTTTCCCCTATTAGATTTTTATCCTCTCTTTACCCACCTGCTGGCTGAGAATGGAGCAAGCTGTAGCTTCATGACATTTGTACTTGGTGTAGGTGCTCTGTGGAGGAGTTTGGATGACTTCTGCCTCTGCTGATGCTCTTTCTGAGTTCACAGTGCTGTAAGCAGCCATGTCTTTATGCTACATTTGTGGTCACATCTCATTATTTTGGTTGACAGATTAATGCCTGGTCTGTCTGTACCAACAGGCTTGATACTGTCTTCTTCCTGGGACAGACTATATTGAGATTTAGAATGTTTTGGAGATTTTTTAAACCACGAACTGTGTAATGGTAAAGATACTAAAAGTAGAAGGAATGTAGGGAAAACGTGCAGAGAATTATCTGCCATGTGACACTGGCTGGTTTGGAGCTGGAGACAGGAACAGCAAGACAGGTGCACACCCAGAGGAAAGAGTAAGAGCAAAACAGCAGTGAGTTCATAAGAGAAAAACCTAATTCCTTTGTAACCTGTGCTCCTGTTTGTGGCACCAGGAGCAGATGGTGGTAAATCATGCTCAATTTGAGACAATGTGGTGTAATACTTCCGCTGTTTGTTCCTGTTTGTTCCCCCTGTTTACTCTGCAGCTGGGCAATTGGATGATGATTAATTGTCATCTAAGGGAAGTTGGGGGGAATCTGAGGCCTTCGGGCTCTTAAGAGGAAGAGATCACTTCCTCTTTGCTCATGCAGGTTCCTGTTGATAATATGGAATATGGATTCATTTGGAATCTGAAATTTGGTCTTTTTAACCTTCTGCTTCATTTCAGTTGAATCCTTCAGAGTCAGAAGTACATTGGTGCCTCTCCTTTACTTTTACTATAGAAACTTTCTGCTTGGGAACCATCGAGAGTTTTGCTGCTTCTTTCTCCTTCATTGCTGATACTATTGAGATTTTTAAAATGTTAACTTTTTTTTAAGATATTCATGACTTGCTATTTTAATCGCAAAATGTCTGGATTTTGTATGAACTACCATTTCAGTGTGTGGTGAAGTATCCACATCCATTATGTAATATAAGGCATAGCATTTATACTAACTGATTTATGGGTTTTATTAACTAACCTATAATTCTTCTGCTGTGGAGGTTTGGGTGTTTTTGCTGTTTACTGTGCAGTCGTGAATGGTTTGTGTGTCTGAAGATGTAAAAATGCAAGTTATTCTATGATGTAAGATAATTGGTAAGTTATTCTAAGATGTAAGGTAAAGGGTCTCTGCTGTCTCTTCCTGTTGATGAAATGGCTCTTCTCCTAAGTTGTTAAATATTCTGTTTACTGAATGGTCATGCTTGCTCTGGAAGGCAAAAGGCATTCTCACTTTTTCCTAGAAATATGTCTGTGCACTTCTGATCACAGAAGTCCATGTGATCTTTTTTTTTTTTTTTTAATGAATTTGGATTCTAAAACCTTAGTGAAAAAGAGTTCTACCTGTCCAAATCCTGGGCTGCTAGATACCATCTGGTTTCCTTAAATTGAGTGGAACAATGTTACACCCACTGAATACCTGACTTGCTGGAAATCAGAGTGAGAGTTCTAGTTTTTGTTTTGAAGCAATAGCCCTGTGGGATTTCTCTTTCTATCTAATATCAGCAGTTCTAGTCTTATTAAATCTGTTCTAGTGTTAATCAAGAGAGAATTCCCTCATCTAATTTATTTGAAATACTGCTTAAACCCAAGACACTTGCAAAGAAATCCCCAGCTGAAATTCAAGGCCTACAAACACTGTTTCAACCCCTCCACCTTCAAAATGAGTGTTAACAACTGTATCAGTATTAGGATTCTTCTCAGAGGAAGTTCCTTTTTCTCAATATCACTTTAAATTCCTGCCTGTGTTGGTTTTGTGTCTTGAATATTGA